TATTTTTTTTATCAAATAATTTATTGATTTAATTTAATTATTTATTAATAATATGTTATGTTATTATTGATATATAATATGATATATACGTTACATTTAAATTCGTAATGATTGTATGTATCCATATACAACATCTCATTTGAACTCGTCGTTCTCAAATTTTCTTAACTAATCGAATTGGTCGACATCAAGAGCTACATATACTTGCGCAAACACAATACTATCGCAACAACATTATTCATGTGTTATTGTAGATGAACCAGAAATGGCTCATAAGGGAAATGCGGTAACACAATCTATCTGATGATAACTAATACGTAATTCCGCACTATTGAAATCATATGCATTGTTTCGAACATTCGAGCGGTAATGCTAATGAAAGAAATGGAGAATCGTAGCAATAGATTGGATATTTTAAACATAAATGGATTTACGTAGCAAATTCTTATCAAATTCCTGCCCAACAAAATAGAAAAGTGGATAATTCGAAACAAAATATTTGAAAGAAAATGTAGACAAAGAAAACAAATAAGTTATTACAACTTTTACTACTTTTATAATAAGGTATAATTATATATTATTATACGTAAAAATGAAATAAAGAAGTGGTATCTCTTAATTTCTTTCATTAACAACATTTTAACAACATATCTATTTTTAATATATACAGTTTTGAGCTTTTAGGAAATATTATACTAATTTACATGTAAATAATATGTAAATAGATAGGATAAACGATAAAAGATATGTAATTATATTATATAATATAATAATAAATTTTAAGCATGGAAATATTGTGTACTTATATTGTGTGTTTATAATAATAGAAGTGTTTGTTTTCGATTTTTAGGCGATTAGTCTGAAACTCAATCATTGCCAGTTCACACTATAAATATACACATATACATCAAAACAAATACGTTATCTGTACCAATTTAATGTGGCGCTTAATATCACATTACTCGCGATTAAAAAGTGTTAGTGGAACTAATAGCACACTAATTGATTATCATTATTTATAATAGATTAAAGTATATTTCTTATAATAATTAGCAAAATTAAAAACATATGACTGAAAAATGAAGTACTTATTACATAAAAGAGAATTATTTATTTGTTCAAGATGTGAATAACAAAATTATTGATATATTATAATGATGTGCGCATATTAAAAGCATATTACATTATCATATAGGAACAATAGAGATTATTTTTTAATTAATAATATATATCAATATTTCTTTTCTTTTTTTCATTTTACAACTAATAAACTTATAAAGATAGTAATGTAAAATAATTTAAAGAGGTCACATAATAGTTTATTATATATAAAAAAAATTTTGAGATAAATATATACTTATATGCACATATATACAATTAAAAGTTAATAAAAATAGTTTTAATTCATTTAATTAATAATAATGGTAAATAATAAATAAAATTTTAATATAAAAATTATGAAATAATAAATATATATTAAATGCTTAACAAAGCATTGAATTTTGCTTGATAAGATCGATTTAATTGTCATTAAAATGTTAATGAGGATTTTGATTATTTAAGTAATTACATTTTTTGTAATGATATATAATATGCAATAATGTATTTTTTTTATCAAATAATTTATTGATTTAATTTAATTATTTATTAATAATATGTTATGTTATTATTGATATATAATATGATATATACGTTACATTTAAATTCGTAATGATTGTATGTATCCATATACAACATCTCATTTGAACTCGTCGTTCTCAAATTTTCTTAACTAATCGAATTGGTCGACATCAAGAGCTACATATACTTGCGCAAACACAATACTATCGCAACAACATTATTCATGTGTTATTGTAGATGAACCAGAAATGGCTCATAAGGGAAATGCGGTAACACAATCTATCTGATGATAACTAATACGTAATTCCGCACTATTGAAATCATATGCATTGTTTCGAACATTCGAGCGGTAATGCTAATGAAAGAAATGGAGAATCGTAGCAATAGATTGGATATTTTAAACATAAATGGATTTACGTAGCAAATTCTTATCAAATTCCTGCCCAACAAAATAGAAAAGTGGATAATTCGAAACAAAATATTTGAAAGAAAATGTAGACAAAGAAAACAAATAAGTTATTACAACTTTTACTACTTTTATAATAAGGTATAATTATATATTATTATACGTAAAAATGAAATAAAGAAGTGGTATCTCTTAATTTCTTTCATTAACAACATTTTAACAACATATCTATTTTTAATATATACAGTTTTGAGCTTTTAGGAAATATTATACTAATTTACATGTAAATAATATGTAAATAGATAGGATAAACGATAAAAGATATGTAATTATATTATATAATATAATAATAAATTTTAAGCATGGAAATATTGTGTACTTATATTGTGTGTTTATAATAATAGAAGTGTTTGTTTTCGATTTTTAGGCGATTAGTCTGAAACTCAATCATTGCCAGTTCACACTATAAATATACACATATACATCAAAACAAATACGTTATCTGTACCAATTTAATGTGGCGCTTAATATCACATTACTCGCGATTAAAAAGTGTTAGTGGAACTAATAGCACACTAATTGATTATCATTATTTATAATAGATTAAAGTATATTTCTTATAATAATTAGCAAAATTAAAAACATATGACTGAAAAATGAAGTACTTATTACATAAAAGAGAATTATTTATTTGTTCAAGATGTGAATAACAAAATTATTGATATATTATAATGATGTGCGCATATTAAAAGCATATTACATTATCATATAGGAACAATAGAGATTATTTTTTAATTAATAATATATATCAATATTTCTTTTCTTTTTTTCATTTTACAACTAATAAACTTATAAAGATAGTAATGTAAAATAATTTAAAGAGGTCACATAATAGTTTATTATATATAAAAAAAATTTTGAGATAAATATATACTTATATGCACATATATACAATTAAAAGTTAATAAAAATAGTTTTAATTCATTTAATTAATAATAATGGTAAATAATAAATAAAATTTTAATATAAAAATTATGAAATAATAAATATATATATATCGAACAAAAATAATTCGAATAGTTTGGAAATAACCAGCTCGATGCATAAATTGCTTGCCAGATTCGAGAGGTTTAAAAGTACCGACTGGTTCTGTCAAACAGCTAGACTGCTTGCGAGAGGTCGCCAGTAACCGATCAATCAGCTGTGCAAAGCTGTACCATGCCGGTAAAAGTTTCATTCTTCACAATGTTGCAAGAAACATAGAGATGGCAATAGCGACACCATTGTTTATATATAAGTGTTTATTCCGTTTGCTCTTCGTTTTCTCAGACATTATTTCTTATAAAATATTAAGATATCATTGAGTTAATAAATTAAAATGATTAAATCTGCTTTACGTATGACGAAATTCCCTGTATTAATGGGAAGCGTGTCAGCTGATGGTCGATTAACCTCGTTGTTGGCCCATTTAAATATTATAACCTCGAGAAACATTGGCACTACCACATTATGTAGCAAGGAGATTCGTTCCCAAAACGAAAAAGTGAAGGTTGGCAAAGGTTCAAAATATGGATTAGTAGAAGGAGAAACTACAATCGAAACATTGAATGTTAATCAACAGTAAGTACTAATTACACATCCCACTTATGCAGCTAACCTTGCCTAACTGTCTGTGATTATGTTAGATGGAGATGATAATCTTTATAATTGTAGCTGTAATATGAATGAAAAAGAAAATTTAATGCATAGTTATTTCATCATACTTTATTGGTTTATCTCATTATTGATTAGAAAATAATCTCTATTTTTACTATTTTTTTTTGTAGGGAATATCTATTTCCTGATGCAGATACACCAAATCGACTCTTTAATGGTGTACCATTTAAAGAAACATATATTGTTAATATTAAATCAACTCCGAATAATACAATTTTGAACTTTACTGACGCTAATGGTAAAGCAATAATGCTGCATACAGCTGGTATAGAAGGTTTTAAGAATGCTAAGAAAGGAACAAATATTGCTGGTCAACAAGCAGCTATAACACTTGCTAATGTAAGTATACATTGCATATGTTCTGTAAAAGTTAAATGTATAGAATATGATGTATTAAACATACATGTATTATAGACATAGAATATATATATTTATCTTTCAAATATGTATATATTTGTTATTCAGCGTATTCTTGAGTATGGTATAAATACAGTGAGAATACGGGTACAAGGTATTGGACCAGGAAGAATGGTGTGTATTTAACAAAAAGATTATTACTTGTTCCTCTTAACGGATAATATATTCTAATATTGAAAATTTTTTCAGTCTTCTATAAAAGGTCTTCAAATGTCAGGGTTAAACATTATATCAATTACAGATGCTACTAGAGTAAGTTGGTGTCCTCCTAGACCACGAAAACAAAGAAGAGTGTGATTATTATATGTTATAATTCATTATTAATTGTGAATATATTATCGGATATATATTAATAGATCTTATAAAAATTCCAGAAGATACATTTTATTTCGTACTTTCAAGTAACTAAACCTTACATAATTCTATTAAAATTTTATTATTTCAAATTTAAGTCAACGAAACACTAATTTTGACTGACATTTTTATTTAAGTACATAATAGGAATGGATTAATCGATTCATTATAAATTATTCTTATGCTCTTTAATTTTCTACTTTTATTTACAATAAATAGGTAATTGCTATTCTATAAACATTTTTATAAATAAACGTCCTAGAAATATATACAATATATATAATACAAAAATAATATTATTAATATTGCATGTGTGTATGTGGGGGAATATATAATATTATATGAAGTAATATATCACATATATATTATGCTAGGTATATATTATATGAGGTATAATTGACTAGATTAAATATAATTTTGAACAAGGTCGAATTTTTTTATACATATTTTTCTTCATCCAATATTTTTTATCATAATCATCTTTTATATAAATAATCACTTCTCACTTTTTTTTTTTTTAATCCTACGTACATCAATACAATATTCTACTGGCTGTAAATGGATTTTCCGAGTTTATAACATTTCTCTCTCAAGCATTTATTTGAAATAGATAATCATTTAGTATTGTAATTATGTGCTTAATCGACTTGCTTTTTCTATATTAAAGTTGTAAGTAGATGCATATCTAAAAGATGTTTCGAAGACGTTTTAAAGACTTCTTATGTCTTTTAAACATCTTCAAAACATCTTAATATTATCAGATCATAAGTTTAGAAATATTAATGTTGTACTGAAATAGGAAAAAAATTTCAAGTTTAATTTTAGGAAAAATTTTGTTCTTATTGTTAGACGGAATTAGACACCGAAATAAAAGCTCGTGTTTGTACTTTCTTCCATCATCGGCCGGCTTGTATCACTTGCGTAATATAAGGAACGTAGTCCGAAACTCTCGTATAAATGCCAGGAAGTCGTGGTCTGCTGCAGCCTATGCCGGTCGAGACCACCCCGATCACCATCAACGGTCCGGCAGGACGACTTCTGACCATCAAGGGCCCGCCGCTGTCAGCCTGGAATAAAGTACAGGATGTGTGCAATGTCTCCGCACATCCCGTAAGCTTCTGTGGTTCAACGGCGCAATGCAAATCCCATTTGCTCTAATATGAACTGTAGGATTGCAAAAGTATCCATTACGGTAAATATCGTTCTACACACGCGAATCATAAATCTCGTCGCTGAAAATTTGCAAGATGAAAATCACGGGTTATTATAGGCATAACATTTATTGTTATTGGATTGTGTATTAAGTTTACTTCGCGCATTGATTCGGATAATTGTAAATTATTTTCTTTGTTTTTCATTAAAAATTAAAAAAATTTAATTGCCCTTGATATTTCGCAAAATTTTTCTTGAAGAAAAATAATTTTAGATGTGGAGAAAAAATATTTTTCTCTTGCTCGCTAAAATACTCTTGTTGTCGAAAATGACTAATAGAATATAATTCTGATTCTATCCCTATATCCCAATTTTTTTTCAGAATAAAGTTAATAAAAATGATTGTATAATATATAATTATATCTCGCAGCAAATATATTAAAACAATATCTACATATAAACATTAGAGAAATAATTGATTATTTTTCGATGGACTTAGAAACATATTCTAGAATCGTTTATAATTCCGATCGCGCTGCTTTCGATATACTCAGAAATCAATTTTTATAGTTGCCAGTCCTAGTTTTCGCGCAAACGAGGTAAACAAGAAATCTAGCACATCTCAATTCCCATTGGAACCCTCAGCCATATTGTACTTTTCCCTTTTCGATGTATTCCGAAGCAATATATCTGTTCTCGATTGTTTTCCCGGGAATATCTTCGTCTAGAAGAAATAGAAATTGCTGATAAAAACGCGACAGAGGCACGGAGAAAACTTATCGGGGACAATGGGAATCAGTATTCTTATTTTTGTTCCTATAGACATAGATGCTGACTTGATAATGCTACGGTAGGATTCCCGTGGAAAGTGGTTTTCCTTCACATAGAAACTACTGCCTTAATTGAATGCCTTAATTGAACGTGAATTTAATATTCGCGTGACAGGGCATTGTCCATCCCCATGAGAGAGGATGTGATATAAAAAAAATTGATTTGCAAATTATCATGACATGATTATGGTGTATATAATATTTCTTTCTGTTCTTTTAAATGTAAAGAAAAAAAGCATGATTTTCAGATGAGTGTTTAGCACATGCATGTATACATATATCTGCATTGATGATAATCATCATTAATATTTTTGTAATATCAAAAGCATATATAAGCGCAATATTGACTCCATTTCAATTTATACTTTCAATAGTTCCTTCCATAGGTTTTCGAATAACCGTCGAAAATCGAAAAAACACTTTTCGGTACATTTAAAATTGGTTATTAACTGGTTTATTTCAAAATCTATGGAGCGAACTACAATCATTTTGACCTCATTTGAAAGATAATTTAATTCTGAACAAAAAGTTTCCTATAAACATGGGTCGAAAAATGCTTCCTTAAAAAGTTAGCGCCCAAAAACCTCTGAAATCACGGTTATTTTTTACATTTTTACAAATATCAGGGAAAGTATGCGTCTTTTAACAAAAAGTACCGAAACAAAAGTTGTAGAGAATTAAATTATCTTATACATATATCTGCATTGATGATAATCATCATTAATATTTTTGTAATATCAAAAGCATATAAGCGCAATATTGACTCCATTTCAATTTATACAATAGTTCGTTCCATAGGTTTTGGAATAACCGTCAATAGCCGAAAAAACACTTTTCAGTACATTTGATTACAATATATTGATTTCTACTAACTAGAAATTTTTCTAAATTTAGCTAAATATAAATCTTATTAATTATCTATAAAAAAAAGAAATTAGCGTTTTTCTTGCTACACATGACAAGTACTTCATGTACAACACGTCATCATTAAAATATTAATATATAAAATTTTTGTAAAAGTTCTTTTAATCAATGTTCTTTATATACCTCGTTGCATGCGAATAATGAAGGCGATAATGTAGAAAGCTCATACAATACTTTTTGTTCTTTTAGTAAACGTTATCACTCTTTTTTTAATCCCTGTTCCAATTTTGCATAAATATCAGCCCACGTTAGAGATCCGCAGAGCGAGGCCGATGCAATTATATACGATCCAATTACCGAGGACCGGTATCATCCGGCATGGTCGGCTATCATGCCCGAACAGCATTGTATGCGCATTACCACGGTATCGTGGGTATTTATTGAAATTCGCGTCGCACCCGTCCGACGAACCATGAATTCCGTGATCGGGCGATTGACAAGCGGCGCCGAGCGAGCAACGATGCGCAAATGCAAAAAAATGTGGATGCACACGCGGACATTTTGCATCCAAAAAGATGAATTGTGGCAATAGAGTGCCTTTTTACTTACCCAGCAAGAATCTTTCCCGCCTTCCTCCCAACCGGCACACATCTGCTTTGATTCCACACGGATCGACTTGCCCTGACTCGCATACCATTCGCTGCACACAGTGTTTGCTACCACGCGAACCTGTACTTTCTGCAGCACGTCTGCTCTTTTGTCTGGAACATAATGGCAATCATTTCAATATACGCAGCAACTTTCTTTTAAGACAAAAATTATCTCATATTTCGAGACGAAATTTGTTTTAAATCATTAACAGTTTGAACTTGTTCATTTTAATTTAATTGAAATATGAATCTTGAATGTTATTAATAGTTGTGTAAATAAGGGCTATTTGTGCCGACGATGTTTAATTAGATGTTTAATTAGATAACTTTGATTCTCTCTACGAGTAGAATAGATAATAATAATAAATATAAATAACACAAATCGCTAAGCTAGATCTTAAACCCTATTGTACTAGCTCCGATATATCCAGGAATTCTCGTAAGTGATCACATACAAAATTTCTGTAATTTTTTCTATTATTTAATGGAGAAAGAGAGAGAGAGAGAGAGAGAGAGAGATACATTGGTTGAAAATTAAAAAAAACTTTCCCAGAAATAACGCAACTCTTGGTAATTTTTGTCTTATGGTCAAAATAATCTTGGCCACTTTATTGATTTCATTTGGTGTATTTATAGGATTTCGACGCTCGCAGAAACTTTGGTGATTATGGAAACTTTGATGCATGTTTCGTCGTTCCGATCGTTATCATGTTAAAGTTATTGAAACTTCAGGTTTAGGATGTATCTCAAATATTTATTAACATCTTGAACGCAACTTGAATAACATGATCAAGAATCTTCACACATTCTAATACCCATTACATTTTAGCAAAAATTTATTTACCACTCGTGAATTATGTTGCAAAATACATATATAAAATATCAACATATTGTGTATTTCGGAGTATGCCAATTACTGGTAATTGACAAAAATCGCGAAAGCATTTGAGAGCGTTTGAATACTGTTAATGAATACCTTTCGATGATAGGAAGTTTCGCAAAAGTTACATTAGAATATTTATATAAATCAGACTTCTTTAATTTAGATAAGAGTCAGTAAAAAACAAGTATATGATAAAATATAGTTAAATTTATGAACACATTTATACATTACTGTATTTATTATATCGCTATTTATGAAATAATAGAAAAGAATTTAGTTCTATTATTTATGAAATAATAGAACAGAGAGAATTTAGTTTGATTATTTTGCAATATGATTTTTCTTTAATTTTTCCAACATTTGTCCAATAAATGAAATACTTTAATCTGATAATCACGTTGACGTAGCATTATATGTATATCACAAAGCATATTACAAAAAAATTTTTTATCGAATAATACAAAAAGAGTAAAAAAATCCATCACAATAGTTTTAAACGACATCATATAATGATATCATATTTGACGAGGCATCAAAGTCTGTCGGAATAGTTGATGTAATGACAGCTAATTCCGTGATACAATCATTCCGTAATCGTAATTGGTGTTGAAAGGAGTGACAATTATTTACTCACATTTGCTTTTATCTTCCCCGAGCCAGCCCCATCCGGCTACTATTGCGTTCATATCGCCGAAAGTGCTATATCCTGGTGTTCCTGTGGCCACAGGTAAACATGCGGGTTTCACGCTTTCCGACCAGCTGATCGGTCTAGCAAGTTCCAGCAGGGCAATATCGTCTACATACTTGCCGCATCTGTGATTAGGGTGCAAGACCACGTTTATGACGCTCTCGTGTCTTGCGGCTGGAATTTCTGGAGCCCTTAAATTGTGCTCACCTAGCGTGACGCGCAATTGTCCCACCGGAATCTTGTTCGTGCCGCTGAAATTAAAGTGAAGACGGATTCAATTTGGCAATGATACGGCGTATTATCACTAGTACTTGATTATATATAATACCATATAATTTTTATTACCATAATTAAATCATATTTTATATCATAATTTTATCAAAATATCTAGATTTTTTTATTCTCTCTGTCTTTCTCCGGAAAAAATATATGTTTTACAAAATATACAAAATATTAATTACATGATTAGAAAAACATAGTATTATTGATATTAAATAATATTATAGAGATATACGCACACGATAAATAAAATCCATACATTCATTCATGTTTTTATTTTTTTAGGAAGCAATGCAATGATTTAAAAAGTAGACTATAATAACACAAGTAATAAAGAGTATTTCATATAATTTATATG